AGGGTATAGGGTTTAGGATTTTGGGGTTTAGGGTTTGCCTGAGATCCTAAACCGCCTTACCACGCGGGTATGTAGGGGGCTATGAAATGGGTTATGCAGGGGTATCAACATAGAGATCGGGGGCCATTTAGGGGTTATATAGGGTACATAGGGTTTGAGGGACATCACCCACAATAATGTAGAATCAAATGGAGAAAACAGAAACCAGGGCTTTGTAGAGGTATTTAGGATTTCGAGACGGAAGGAAGGGAAACGAACATGGAACCCAATATATCATTAAGGGTTGTATAGCGACTTCTATACGGGCCCGCTCCTTCATTCCTTGCTATCCAGAGGCAATCCCATTGGGGAGTTTCTCGATGGGTTCCCCGAAACCCTGAACCCTATATCGTAAACCCTGAGCCCACCCTAGGGATATGTAGGGATCCTCGAATCCTTCTAAGGGTCCTCATTACGGAATATATATGGGTAGTTTTGAGAAGCCCCATGTACCTTTGAGTTCCTAGGTTCTACGTAACTCGGTAGTTAATACTACAAAGCTGTAGGAGTTTGAAGTTGTAGTTCGTGAAAACCCAAAATACAACGCCTAGACCCCAAACACTAAACTCTAAACCTCCGACTCGCTACAGGTTCCGACCAGACGAAACAAAAACATGGGCGAATACGGTCTGCAGGCTTGACTCCTCAACATGGGGTTTGCAGAAACAGGAAGCCCCAACATTCACCCCAAAATAATAGTCTGTTGTAGCGACTCCCTGAAAGGGATCCTGCATTTTGGAAACATGAAGGTCTCGATTCTTTGCAAGATTCCTCATGAAAGTTGCTGTGCTTGGAGCTTAGCATGTAGGTTAAAACCCCCTATAAACCATATAGTAACCCTAGTTATCCCCATTATTAACCTACTTAAAAAGTCCCCCTGACCCTCCCAGCGGGCATCTAAGCTACAATGACCGAGAGCATCCGCACTGGCAGCCTAGCCACTTTGCATTGTCAATATCACAAAGCTGCTTGTCAGAACCCACGTAGCGTCATCTGCAAAGTTGCCATTCACATCATTTACAATAGCCTGCACATCCTGCACGACTTGGCAGTTCGCCTGGGATATGCTTCGGATTTGGACTTCAGGTGGATGCCTGTAGAGCAAGGGTTTGGATCAGGGTGACAAAATTTTGGAATGATTCTTCTCATGAAGCTCAGTTCAGAATCATTCAAGCTACCTCGCCCGTTCATCTGAAGTATTGCATTACGGATAGAAGCACAGCAAGTTCCTGGCCGGCTACTTGCATTCGATATGCTCAAAGGCAACGGACTTGGGCAGTAACGCTCAAACTAATACATGTTCAGCAAAGACATCTCCCAGTCTGCCGCCGAGAACCACTTTACTGCAGGCGTTCAGATAGCACAGAAATCAAAGGAAGTGAGCTGCAAAAACTGCTGAAGTGTGCCTCCGGGTGTTAGCCGAGTGGCAAAAGCAGCGCAGGAGTCCGCCATGCCACATCTAGCTTCAATTGTCAAGAAGTTGAAAACATGTTTAAAAAAAGACCACGGCTGGAGCCAGCGAACGGGAGAAGGGACTTTCTGGGAATTGCAGTCCGGGGTTGGATGAGGATAGGGAGCAGGGAGCTCCCTGGTGCAGCATACGTATCCTGCTGCTAAGCTTTCAAGATGGGACTATGATATTGAGGACATGACCCCTAAATTCGATGCACAATTTCTAGTCCTGGAAGGAAGGCAGTGCGTGGGGCGCGGGATGGACACATACAGTTGGGGGAGAGCCCCTGGACAAGCTTCTGTCCGTATATTGTGGCATGCACTGGTTGGAAAGGACCCAAACCGGGAACCCCAAGAGTATAGTTGGAATATAAAAGGAATATGCGGGCCAATCATATTTCTTACTATATTATAAAGCCTAAAGCCTAAACCACCAGACCCTAAACCCTAATCTTGGGGTCCCCGTTAGAGTCCTATTATGGCTGACGCAAGGCAGAAAATTTCGGGACCGCTAACACGCTGAACAGTTTGGAGAGCTCTTTCAGAAATGCCTCTATGAGCTATAGCCTAAACTCCTGGTATCCCACTTAAGAAACCCTATAATAATCCCCTGTATAAGCCCCTGTGTAACACCTCTTAAGGAGTTTAGACCATAGCTCCTATAGGGTTTAGGGTAATCAAGAACATCGCAGGAAACCCTAAACCCTAAACCCTAAACTCTAAATTGTGGTTCTTTTCGGGCTCCTGATTGTCCTACCGCACCGCTCCACTGGAGCGGATTGGGGAGTTTTCAGTTTAGGGTTTAACGTGATCCACGCAAAAACCTTCTTGTCACGACCACAGAGTAAAGAGGCCTGACTTTGGTATTTGGGATAGAGTTTAGGGTTTAGGGGGTTTAGGGTTTAGGGTTTAGGCAGCTGTGAAAATTGTGGACCCTTTTTGACTTTGTGAGTACATCTTGCATCCGGACCCCATATCTACTTGCCAGATCCAGACATATCCTGGTACCTGTAGGATGGTGGTATGCGCCTGAGACGTCCCAGCTAAGCAGTTTGGTATAGGGCTTCGGGTGTAGGGTTTAGGGTTGGTATACTTCCGGACGCCCGTACAATCTGCAATGGTATGTCTAAGCGTCTTACAGGATGTAACCCTGTTATAGCTCGAGATTTTCCTGCTAAGCATACACACCCTGAACCTTTAAAACGTCAACCCATTTTGAGACAAATGTCCTGACTTGCAGTTTTACAACTTTCGCCACTCATGTGCGTGGGAACTTCATTGAGCCCAGAGTGGGCGGTATGCCCAGCCATGAATTCGGCGCACAAATGAGGCGGGCTTTCATGGGAGTCTTCATTCAGTAGGGGCCTATAAATAGATGGCAAATAAAAAGATGGAGCAGGGCTTGAGATATGTATTGTCACCATTACGTGAGCTATAGTCTACTCCTAGTATCGCCCTTAGTGACCCCTGTAATACTCGGCTATACAATCCCCTTATATAGCCCCATGTAAGGGGTCTAGATTACAGCTCATGTAGCCCCTAAACCCTAAACCCTAAATCCCAGACAGTGGTTTCCAGTTTGTGTTCGATTCATACATAACCCCCATGTACCCCGCCCCCCCGCCTCCCCCCATTTAGGGTAGGGCTTCAATCCATTATGTAAGGGCTATTTATCTCCAACATTATACATTTCTCAGGATGCTACATTACTCAGTGTACTTCCCGTGTAATCCTACGGCTCCCAGTTACCTAATTAAGGGATTCTGGGTTCTATATACCCTATAGTTACATAGCCCAGAAACCTACTATTTAGGTAACTGGGAGCCCTAGGGCCCTAGGGTTAGCCGTTGTTGCATCAAGGCTGTTTTAGGGTGGACAGGCTTGATAGTTTTGATATCAAGGTCTGTGGAGGTGTGCTTGTTCCAGCCATGCCAAAATGCATAGCCTGAGGGTTGTCAACGTCAAGGGCTCCTTCTTGTGAATCCTGAATACGACGGGCAAGAAAAACCCTAAACCCTAAACTGCATGTTGACAACGACATCACTTCTGAAAACCAAGCCAGACAGCAACAGCGACTATCTGCTCGAGGCCCGCTACCCTCACTCTTTCTCAAGAAGCTAGTATACTCTAAGGCTCATAGCCCTTAAATGGGTTGTTCTCAAAATTATGGGCCCCTTTGGGTCATAGACTATATTACGGCACCAAATATTTAGGGGTACCAAAAGGGGACCCTAATTTTGGGAACTACCAAATATTTCAAGGTGCCCGATGGCCTCCTGGAGTACTCTTGACTTCCTCCAGAAATCTGCTTTTAGACTTTGCTAAAGTATTTCGGAGAAATTTCAATTACTTGCTGGCGGATTTGGGATGATTCGCTCTCTCTGTAGGGGTTTCTCAAAATTAGGTGCGCTTTTTGGGGGTCCGTGTAATAATAAAAGATCAAATAAAAAATGTTTGGGCTTATCTTGGGCCCCCCTAAACCCTAAACCCCCATGTCTAGGTTGACTTCTTCTGCAGGGTTCCTAAATGTTTGGTCGCACACGGACCCCAAAAAGAAGCCTATGCATTACAGGAATCTGTGCATGCTATGATTATATAGGCGAGCTGAGTATATGCATAGAGTTGTACTAGCAAGTCTCCCTAAACCAGAGCATAGATTCAGGTTTGACATGCGAGGATGGGACCCGACTAGACTTCTTGTTGTGTGGCCTTATAAGCCTACGCAAGCATCTGTCAGAACTCTATACTCTAAACCGAAAACATGAACGGTTCGCTGCTTCCAAGTATTTGAGTAAGCAGAAGCCCTTTGTGGCTGGTTGCCCTGCAAACCCGCTTCGAGATGTGCCGCTTGCGAAGGCCATCAAGACCAATGTCGGCCACGTCTATGCTCCAAACACAGTGCAGTAGGCGCCATACGGGGAACCATTACCTCTCCTAATAACATTCCCCGGACCCCTGTGATGATACATGTTGCCAGTATGTTGCATGCATCATACACTCTACAAGGTGCTTTATGGCGGTTTATCATTGCGGGAGGGGATCTAGGCTGCATGGCCTAGTGCGTACGTAACCACGTAGGCCTAATGTCGCTTAGGGTTGCGTGTTTTCTAGGACCCTAAACCCTAAATTTTGGTTAGCTGGGAATGAAGGAATGAAAAAGAAGATGGAAAACACCATGATTGGTTATATAAGGAACACTATAAGGATCCATTCCTTCATTCCAGGCTAGCCAAAGGTAAGTCAACCCTAAACCCTGCAAGGTTTCAGGCAAAGCACAATAGGATTCAGCTTTGGACTCTGTACTGTCGCTCCGGGTAATGTTTAGGATGCATGGAAAACTTGTGGCTTAGGGTTTAGGGTTTAGGGTCGTTGCCTACCCTGAAACCCTCCCAAAACATCATCTTAGCTGTTTATGCACGTTTCAAACAGCAAAATTGAAAAGCCTCTTCAGGATGCCCCTTGTTCAGCAGGTAAGTCCCTTCCGAAGCTCATCTTGGGACATACTGTAGCTGGCCCTAAACCCTAAGCCCTAAAGCTCTAAACCCTAAACCCTAAACCGCCTAAGGTTAGTGTACCGGGATGACACAAAGACTACCCTGATCGACTGTGCTTAACCTACGATTAGTTTACTGGGGTTAGTAGGTAAAAAGGGGCTATACTATATGGGGATTATGTACGGATTATATGCCCTACTATCCCCCAATAAGTTACCCTAGACCCTAAACCCCTGAACCCTAAACCCTACTATCCCCCAATAAGTTTGAGAACTATCCGGGGGATGCACAAGGGCTTGGAGTTGAGGGCCCAAGACTCTTCCTCTGTTTCGGGTTTAGGTTTAGGGTTTGGTCAAGTACACCCGAGGGACCCAAAGGCCCTACCCCGGGGATCCAAATATTGTAGGTAATTTCCGGGTTCAAGGCATAGGGTTTAGGGTTAAGGGCTTAGGGATCCAAAAAGGCCTAATGTAGGTAATATGAGGCCCAAGACACCACTCAATGTCTACATGCTGCTGATCCTGCAGGTCTGTGATGATGATTTCTGAACACCCTTCCGCAGAAAAGTTTGATGGGGCTCAGCCAACGGTTAGGGTTTAGGGTTTAGGGCGATGGCCTTGCGCAGCTTCTGGCCCATTTTGGCCAAACAGCATTGACTCTACAGCAGCAAGCCCAACAGAGTCACGACAGCAAGCAAAGGCTACACATCCAGAAGATCAGCTTGCTAAGGAACTTATTGGCAATGACTATAATCATGATGTATACGAATTATACAGCTGCCCCAGTAATGGAATCAAATGGAAAAGAACATGATGAACTATGAACAGGGAAGTAGGGTGATATGGTGGTTTGTGATATGGATTCACAAGTAGCTATATTTGTATATCACGGAGGATGCTGTTTTCTTGCTACAGTCGTAGGTTTTCAGATGTGGGTTCAGGCCAGAGGTTCGCATTAGAGTCATGAGAGTAAGCGCGTGGGCCTGCCCGGGTTGTAATAGAGG